GAAAACGGCTTCGCGGAGAAACATCGCATGCTCCAGTGGCCCGTTGGCGTTTGCACACCTAAGAGTTTGATGTCTTTCCAATAGGTTCTTGCAGGCGCAACATGATTTTTTGGACATTTCCCAGAAAGGGTAGCAACCCTTGGCAGTTTTACCCGTAGATGGAAGAGGTTGTGGCGAAATGAAACAACACATCACTTGCTGCAGAGATGACGAGTCGGTTCGTTCATCCAAATTTCATCCGTATATCGGATAAGAAGATGACTCTTTCTCGGTTAACCACGAAGGCTCAAGTCCTGAAAAACTCAAAGTTTTCTCGTCGTTGTCATTTCAATCACTTGTCTTCTATACCATGGCGGCCGTGACCATGGCAAAGGTGTGGCTCGTCCTGGGCCTTTCCAGTGCCTTGCGCGCAACTCAGGAAGGCGGGGAGGAAATTTCCAGCGCAGTTCGCTACACAGAGGAGGACGTGGACTGTTCATCGTTAAAGTTTGTGAGTTCCGAACCGTATGATGTCTCCCACATCAGAAAGATCCTGACTCACTACTGGGAGACCAGCATCGGCTTCTACGACTGTGAAGAATGCGACAAAAATAGATGGAACTGCTACTGGAAGTATTATACATACTTTAAGAAGCACAATCGCTTTGCGGTCTTGCAAGCCCATATTGACAGCAAGGCCAAGAATGATGCGATGTGTGCAACTGAGGGATGGCAACACTGGGGTGAGGATGATTGGCGCTTGACCTTGAGCCCCAAGTTCTGCAGTCCCAATTCCAAGTTCAGCAGTGCCCTTCGCGAGAAAATGGCCAAGGACGCACGTGAGCGTTGCAAGGCGACGCTCTGCGAGCTGGCAAAGAGCGGTGAGTGGAAAAACACATGGTTCAAGTCCAAGAAAGAGGCCTCAGATTTGCTGAAGTTGTTTTTGTTAAATGTTTCCATTGGTAAGTCCACCTTTAGGGGAACCTAAATGGGCAACATGATTTCTCTCTTGTTGGCTTCCTCAAGCAACCCTGAGAGGCCGCCATTGAGATGCCCTGGCCTGCCAAGATGAGTTCACGCAAAGGCCTTGGATTCAAAGATGCCTTCAAGGAAAAATGCTGGCATGGACCAGAGGAAATGCCGGAGAGTTTGGGCTACTTCCAGGACTTCGTGAAGCACTACGGTATGCTCTCGGCCTCTGAGACCTTTAATAAGAAGGTCGGCGGCTGTCCCACTGAGGATGACTGCAGCTGATGGAGGCCATGAAAAATGCGAAGGTTCCCATGGCAGGTGCATGGTTGGGAGAACCCAAAATTCACCATCCCCAAATGGTCTGAGCATAACCCGGTGAACCTCATTACTGGGATATGTAAATGCACTGGTGACTGGGGAAAAGAAGCATCACCTGTTTGCAGATCTTGTTCAGTGGAGAAAGGGGCCCATGTGGCAATCCAGGGGTGCAGTGAGACCTTCTTACCAGGAGAAGTGGGAAGAATAGTTACATGTGAGCCCAATCATTTTGGGGTGATTCCCGCGATTCTTTCTGCATGCTCCTGTGGGATGCTGAAACGCATGAACATTGCGTCACTGCAAGCTGATGTTCATGTCAACCTCTAATGAAACCATGTTTTCATGGAGTGGATGAACATGTTGTAGGTCGCTTTGGAACAACTCTTCTCGAATGCTGTGATGCGACACCGCGCCGAAGCTGTTTTGTTCGTTCCTCTTCAGCTTCACGACAGATGCGGCAGCCACTTTCCCAGACCCTTGTTGTGGGGCAAAATCAATTTCAGGAACTTGCCCAGCGGCCCTTGCCTGAGTTGTGATAAAAGCAGGTGATAGGTAGATGGCTGAAATAGGGGCTTTCAATTCCACTATGACGAAGGGCTGCTTCAGTCCTACGCCATCCAGTCACACACAACTTACTCACACACAACTTACACACACACACACAACTTGCTCACACACAACTTGCACACACACACACAACTTGCTCACACACAGCTTGCTCACACACAACTTGCTCACACGCAACTTGCACACACACACACAACTTATATACTCACATACAACTTACTCACACACAACTTGCTCACACACAACTTGCTCACACACAACTTGCTCACACACAACTTGCTCACACACAGCTTGCTCACACACAACTTGTCATCACACCACGTGCTCACACACAACTTGTCGTCACACAACTTACTCTGGCGTGGCAGGTGTGGCACTTATGGCATTGGGCTGGCTCTGGTGGCGCGCTTGGTTTTAGGTGTGGCGCCGGGACGCCGCGGCTGTTGGCGTGGCAGGCGTGGCACTTGGAGACATCCATCTTCGTTTCACGTGGCAGGCGTGGTACTTAGTGACATCGACTTCTACTCTGGCGTGGCAGGCGTGGCACTTATGGCATTGGGCTGGCTCTGGTGGCGCGCTTGGTTTTAAGTGTGGCGCCGGGACGCCGCGGCTGTTGGCGTGGCAGGCGTGGCACTTGGAGACATCCATCTTCGTTTCACGTGGCAGGTGTGGTATACTTGGTGACATCGACTTCTACTCTGGCGTGGCAGGCGTGGCACTTATGGCACTGGGCTGGCTCTGGTGGCGCGCTTGGTTTTAGGTGTGGCGCCGGGACGCCGCGGCTGTTGGCGTGGCAGGCGTGGCACTTGGAAACATCCATCTTCGTTTCACGTGGCAGGTGTGGTACTTGGTGACATCGACTCTTACTCTGGCGTGGCAGGCGTGGCACTTATGGCACTGGGCTGGCTCTGGTGGCGCGCTTGGTTTTAAGTGTGGCACCGGGACGCCGCGGCTGTTGGCGTGGTAGGCGTGGCACTTGGAAACATCCATCTTCGTTTCACGTGGCAGGTGTGGTAGTTGGCGACATCGACTTCTACTCTGGCGTGGCAGGCGTGGCACTTATTGCACTGGGCTGGCTCTGGTGGCGCGCTTGGTTTTAGGTGTGGGGACGCCGCGGCTGTTGGCGTGGCAGGCGTGGCACTTGGAAACATCCATCTTCGTTTCACGTGGCAGGTGTGGTACTTGGTGACATCGACTGGGCATGTACCTCTGCTGCATCACTTGCACTTTTGCGTACACTGTGACATGTTTGGAGCGGATGAGATTGTCGTACCTGCCTCATCTGTAGTCATTTGACACCATGCAGTCAAACACTGTGACATGTTTCTGTTTGGATGCTATTTTCGTGTCTGCGTTATCTCTAGCCATTTCAGTCAGACAGCCACTACACATTTCGAAAACATGCAGTCACACTGCAATGACACCACCACTCGGAGCCAGAGATGATTGCATCGCACTCAAACAAGAGATGACCACTTGGCATCGTAAGCCAGCTGCTTTGATGTGAAATGTTTCTGTTGGATGTGATTTTGGTACCTGTGTGATCTGTAGCCATTTGACGGCACGCAATCAGACAGCAATTGCATTCCAGTCAGACAGCAATTGCACGTTTCCTCAGTCAACTTCGTATCGCTGTGCAATCGGTTGCCGCTGTTCTTGTGTTGCCTGCTTTCAGTAGGAGCTACATTACTACACTTGCCGCAGTCGCTTGGCAGGTCCAGCACGCTGCGATGTCGTCATCTTTGGTAGTGCTGTTGCAGCTGACAGCGCTCATGTATCTGTGCTTCCGAAAAATGACACTGGCTCCGGTGGCGCGCTTGGGTCGGCGTGGAACAAGGGGACGCCGCGGCTGTTGGCGTGGCAGGCGTGGCACTTGGAGACATCCACCTTCGTTTCACGTGGCATGCGTGGTACTTGGTGACATCGACTGGGCATGCACCTTTGCTGCATCACTTGCACTTTTGCGTACACTGTGGCATGTTTGGAGCGGATGAGATTGTCGTACCTGCGTCATCTGTAGCCACTTGACACCATATATATATATATATATATATATGTGTGTGTGTGTGTGCATCCATACATCCATCCATCCATCCATCCATCCGTCCGTCCGTCCGTCCGTCCGTCCGTCCGTCTGTCCATACATACATACATACATGCATACAACCAAAACTTGTCCATAAACAACTTACTCGTACTTACTCTTCCACACACAGCTTGCTCCACACCAATCCTTCACCATCTCTTTTCCGTTTCTTGCTTTCCCCATGCCATCTTTACCTTTCTTTTGCTGCTTGTTGGAAGAAAGTTGACATGTGGGGTTATCCGGTCCTTTAATTTATGTATTGTTTTTTTTTGTATGTATTTTCATTATTTATTCATATGTATATTTATTTATATCTATATGTTCTGCTCAGTTCGATTGTGTCTTGTTTTCTGCAAGAAGGCTTTGCTCAGGTTTCTGTGTGTTTTCTCTGCTTTGTGAGTTGCTGTGTGTTGCCTATTTGATTTTGTGGGTATGCTGTGTGATTGCTCAGGTTGTGGTGTTGTAATTCGTGCAATACTGCAATACCTTGCAGCGTGTAGGGGGGTATAGTGTTTCAGCTCAGTTACATAGCCTTCCGGCGACAAAACAACGGCAGTTATCTAGACAACAGAAAACCCATACTGAACATGATCTATGGTGAGACCGCTGCATCTGCCTAAATGCCTGCCCATCTAGATCTGCACACGGTCACTTTGGCCTGTCACATGACTTCCCTTCGCATGCTACCCCTGGGAGGATCACCCTATGAATCGTAACTCGTTAGTAAGTGCGGTTATTTACCTGTAAAAAAATAAATGTGTTCAAAGCATTAATTCGCATAGCAAACTGAAATGCGTTGAAAAAGGAGACCTGTAGATTCCCACGCCCTCCATATCCTCCATATGCTATGTCGAGCGAAAACGGATTCGCGGAGAAACATCGCATGCTCCAGTGGCCCGTTGGCGTTTGCACACCTAAGAGTTTGATGTCTTTCCAATAGGTTCTTGCAGGCGCAACATGATTTTTTGGACATTTCCCAGAAAGGGTAGCAACCCTTGGCAGTTTTACCCGTAGATGGAAGAGGTTGTGGCGAAATGAAACGACACATCACTTGCTGCAGAGATGACGAGTCGGTTCGTTCATCCAAATTTCATCCGTATATCGGATAAGAAGGTGACTCTTTCTCGGTTAACCACGAAGGCTCAAGTCCTGAAAAACTCAAAGTTTTCTCGTCGTTGTCATTTCAATCACTTGTCTTCTATACCATGGCGGCCGTGACCATGGCAAAGGTGTGGCTCGTCCTGGGCCTTTCCAGTGCCTTGCGCGCAGCTCAGGAAGGCGGGGAGGAAATTTCCAGCGCAGTTCGCTACACAGAGGAGGACGTGGACTGTTTATCGTTAAAGTTTGTGAGTTCCGAACCGTATGATGTCTCCCACATCAGAAAGATCCTGACTCACTACTGGGAGACCAGCATCGGCTTCTACGACTGTGAAGAATGCGACAAAAATAGATGGAACTGCTACTGGAAGTATTATACATACTTTAAGAAGCACAATCGCTTTGCGGTCTTGCAAGCCCATATTGACAGCAAGGCCAAGAATGATGCGATGTGTGCAACTGAGGGATGGCAAAACTGGGGTGAGGATGATTGGCGCTTGACCTTGAGCCCCAAGTTCTGCAGTCCCAATTCCAAGTTCAGCAGTGCCCTTCGCGAGAAAATGGCCAAGGACGCACGTGAGCGTTGCAAGGCGACGCTCTGCGAGCTGGCAAAGAGCGGTGAGTGGAAAAACACATGGTTCAAGTCCAAGAAAGAGGCCTCAGATTTGCTGAAGTTGTTTTTGTTAAATGTTTCCATTGGTAAGTCCACCTTTAGGGGAACCTAAATGGGCAACATGATTTCTCTCTTGTTGGCTTCCTCAAGCAACCCTGAGAGGCCGCCATTGAGATGCCCTGGCCTGCCAAGATGAGTTCACGCAAAGGCCTTGGATTCAAAGATGCCTTCAAGGAAAAATGCTGGCATGGACCAGAGGAAATGCCGGAGAGTTTGGGCTACTTCCAGGACTTCGTGAAGCACTACGGTATGCTCACGGCCTCTGAGACCTTTAATAAGAAGGTCTGCGGCTGTCCCACTGAGGATGACTGCAGCTGATGGAGGCCATGAAAAATGCGAAGGTTCCCATGGCAGGTGCATGGTTGGGAGAACCCAAAATTCACCATCCCCAAATGGTCTGAGCATAACCCGGTGAACCTCATTACTGGGATATGTAAATGCACTGGTGACTGGGGAAAAGAAGCATCACCTGTTTGCAGATCTTGTTCAGTGGAGAAAGGGGCCCATGTGGCAATCCAGGGGTGCAGTGAGATCTTCTTACCAGGAGAAGTGGGAAGAATAGTTACATGTGAGCCCAATCATTTTGGGGTGATTCCCGCGATTCTTTCTACATGCTCCTGTGGGATGCTGAATCGCATGAACATTGCGTCACTGCAAGGGTGATGTTCATGTCAACCTCTAATGAAACCATGTTTTCATGGAGTGGATGAACATGTTGTAGGTCGCTTTGGAACAACTCTTCTCGAATGCTGTGACGCGACACCGCGCCGAAGCTGTTTTGTTCGTTCCTCTTCAGCTTCACGACAGATGCGGCAGCCACTTTCCCAGACCCTTATTGCGGGGCAAAATCAATTTCAGGAACTTGCCCAGCGGCCCTTGCCTGAGTTGTGATAAAAGCAGGTGATAGGTAGATGGCTGAAATAGGGGCTTTCAATTCCACTATGACGAAGGGCTGCTTCAGTCCTACGCCATCCAGTTTGAGTTCATGAATGATATGGGCCATGGCTATAGCCAAACCCTATACTTGAACCGCACGATTTTTCATGCTCTGATCTGAATCTGAACAGTATCACAGCAGAAAACACGGGCCTAGTTGATCAGTCCTGGGTTTGTGCCATGGTCCTCCAGGCACTGGCGGGAGATCCCAGCACTGGATCCTTCAAAGCGCATTTTCATTTTAAAGGGAAAATGCCGAAATTTGACTCAAGTGCAGATGTCTTTCGGCCATGAGACTTATGTATTGCCCCGCTGTGTTTTGCTGTAGCACATGCATTTGATGCCGCGACAAAAGGATGGTCCCAGTCCACCAGAGATGCCTGTAAGATCAAATTGTAGTAAAAATACTCGCCGAGTAATTTACTCGCCCGTGTAAAATTTACTATCGAATCATGAAGTAAATTTACTCGAAATGTTGCCGTTTGCAATGTTCATTTTTTTCTCACAAATGTCCACATTGCAGTTTGCAATGTCCACATTGCAGTTTGCAATGTCCACATTGCAGTTTGCAATGTCCACATTGCAGTTTGCAATGTCCACATTGCAGTTTGCAATGTCCACATTGCAGTTTGCAATGTCCACATTGCAGTTTGCAATCAGAAAAATTACTCTTCCGACTAAATCTACATTTAGTCGCCCGAGTAAATTTAGTCGGAATGTAAATTTAGTCGGAAAATTTAGTCGTTGACGACTAAATTTAGTCGAATGTAAAAAATGTAAAAAACTAGTTTTGACTAAATTTAATCGGCGAGTATTTTTGCTACAATTTGATCTTATAGGTGTGTGGTCATATCGCGGTTGCATCTCTGAACTTGGCAGATGTGGAACTTCATTTTTGGTTCTTGTATGAACTCTAACCCGTGTTTTTCCAAAGTTGAGCTTATAGATCACAAATTGCCATGACATGTAATTGAGCAATACCCTCCATGCTGATTTGCTTGCCTGTACGCCTTTGTCATACTGTGCCCGTTTGGGGGCAAATGTGCTTACATAATCTAATATACAACTTTTATAATACATTCATTGGTCAATTTCTTTAAAATTTGTATCGCTTCGTACGGTCTGATTTTTGGCCTTCGCGAACATGGCCACATGCAGTACATTGCATCAAACAAAATGCCGGTATTTAATCTAACCATGCAATTTTTCCAGGTATGGCCGAATATGTTAGCTTATTTGGGCCAATCATTTGGGCAGAGCTCCTTCCAAAGCTTAAAAATCACGGACACATTGCAGGAAAGCAATCTGACGATCTTGACAAGGGATTTACCAACCAGCAAGGTTGGATTGCCAGAGGGTGACACCTGGCCTTCCGCATGCCGCAGGTGCATTACATTTCCGCGCGATGAGCGGAAAATGGGTTTGCCAGTGCCTGGCTTGCAAGGGAGTAGGAAACATGTTTGCAGGCAACCCAAAAAATGAAGGTAGAATGATTTGGAACCATGTTTTCGGAGACTGATTTTATGTTTCAATTTTGTAATGTACAGCTGCATTACATGCGTTTACCTTACCTTTTGGGAAAGAGTCATGTTTCAAGATTCCAACACTTTCAAGCACCTCCGTGCCTCGCTGGTCGCCGGGGGGTTTGCATTTAAGCCTACCTGACTGATGTTTCAACCTGGGTGTATCGCAGGGTTTATCAAGTTCCCATCTTCGAGAATCCTACTGAAAACTCTTATTTTGGGTTAAAGGGAAAAATATATTCAGGACATTTTTTCTCAAACATTCTAAAACCATCCGAGTGTATCAAAACCAACATCGCCAGCCAACAGAAGCCAGCAGCCAGATTCCAAACATGATTTGTCCAATCCGTTTTTGTCCCTTGCAATCCATATGTATCCATGTTTTTGCTGGATACATCAAAGTTGTTTAAGCAGTAAAACACACCCCCGCTATATATTTAAATGCACACAGTCTTTGGAGGGTTATGAGATAAACACCACGTATGTTACGTGCACTATATGCCTGTGATTGATCATATACATGCACTATCCTGAACGTGACCAATGTCAACCTGAACTACTCCTACGTTGCGGTGATTTCTACGCCATCTAGCTACAATTATAACTGCCATAAACCCAACAGTTGTTGCAGTTACAATAAACCAACTTAGCTATCTGAATCCCATTCCATCCACTAGAAACCAATAGAAACCAACAATAGCGAAGTAACCAATGGATTGATAAACCATTAGGTTACAATTACATCCGGTTGAAATCTTGCCAAAATCAACCAACAGAAACCTACCCGAAGTATGGGCCAGGCACCCGTCCTGTGGCTCCTCTGAAGCGCAGTTGGAGGAGCTTCGCCTGCGACGCCCGGACGGTGCCGGGGTTCGAGATATCCTGGGCCGGGAAGACGGTGCGGTGGGGTGCCCTATCTGGGCAGAATACTCTGCTGGTTTTTGCGTTTCTTGCAGCTGCTTTTTGAGAATATTGATGAATATTGACGATGACGAATCCCTTGTTCTTGATCGTGACATTTTTTGTTCATGGCAAATCACAATTTTGATGGTAAAGCGCTTGGTAAGATCCAACGCAAGGCTTGAAGATGAAATCGTTATGTCGGTTGGTTTGTATTCCTGTTTGCTCACCGGCTGCCTCATTTTCTGCATGTTCTCACAGCAGGTAAATTGCAAAATTGCACCCGGCCCATCCCACAATTTCGACAATTGCAAAACAGGACCTTATTCCAGTGCCCCAGTATCAGTCCCAGTATCCCAAGCTTACATCCACATTTCGTAGGAAAACGCTAGTCTCTATCTTATCATCAATGGTCATATCATGACATGGTTTGTCTTGGATATGTATTGACACATCATGTAAGAATGACATATCCAGGTGCTACATCATTGAAATTCCCCTCCGCTTTCCATGGATGGCACAAGCAAATGCTTCAACCAGCCAGGCTTCGAGCACGACGAGGATCCCACGATTCGAGTTTGCACAGCCCCTGGGCGCGAAGCACTTGGAATAGTGTTAAAACGGAGAAAACAGAACACAATAGAAATATGGAACCACAAAGGTAACATGTGATAAGATCATTGGATGATACATAGCCATAGGCGACTCACAATCTAAGTTATCTAAGAACAGACGTGAATTTCATTGTTTTTTTCCCTTTCCCGGTCGGGGGGCTATACTCAGGTGTGCCGTCGCCTCCCCTTGCCCCGCAACGGAAAGAACGGCTCCTCCTTTGCTCCACACGCCGAGCCACCGTTGGACGCCAGCTTTCTGGCGGGGATCAAGGAGGAACCGTGGTAGGTCCCAGGATAGGGTGTGAGAAAACCATGGGAAAACCACGACAAAACCATAGGAACCTAAAGGATGTGTGAACTGTTCTTTTCGAGAAATGAATCTAATTATAAATGGTGGAATTTTCAGTTGCCAGGATCTTATTTGATTGGTGTGTTTTTTTTGCGGATCCTCCATCTTATTTGGAACCAACGTTGGGCCACGTCTGGGGTATATCCGGTGCTGTCGTTGAGACGGGATTATGATGCTGTCAGACTACGCCCTCTGGAACTGTAATGCGATGCGCACCGAATAGTCGGCAATGCACAGGTTGATGTCAGCTCACAATTGCAAGAAGGAGGGAGCATTAAGATAAAGGGTGAAACCAACCGTTCTATTGCAGGTTAGCATCAACTATTCGGAGTTAAACTAAAACATGTGGATTGAACTATCATAGTGAATATCATCTGTCTCAACTTGGTCTCGGCGAAAACAAATGCCATCTTGACTGCAACCTCTCCCCAAGGGAAAGAAAACACCCTAGAGGCTGAAAAAACCTCATGCGAAGGGGGGGATGTACAGTACCCATACAAAATTCACAATTCAGCATTCAACCGCTCAACATCTAGATGTTTTTTCTTCAGCGTCCACTTTGGTTTCTTTCCACAATGCACACAGCGCAGAAGCTGGGGCTTGCAGGAGCTAGGGTCCATCGAAGAGAATGAGCAGAATATCCAGTCCTTGTCCCAGGTGGCTGGCCTAAAATCTAGGAGGGTCCAAGTAAAAACACAACGAAAAGGACTAAACTTGCATGAAACTTAATGGGCAACCACCGTGTCATTTTAGTGAGGGTGGCTTTGGATGATCCATTCTGTGGAAATGTTGCTATCATCAACTTTCAGCCCTGGATTTTGTTAAACCCCTAGTCTACTTATTTTGTTGGGCTGGTACCATTTCATGACGGGCTACCTCCCAATGAATTGAGTGACCTGGGTATACTTGGGTTTATCAATTCGGGGTTGACATTAGTAGGTGTGAAGTGTGAAAAGGTAATGGGTAACCACTACCAAGGAGGTGACGCTTCGCGTGGTCAGTAAGACTGGTTGCGGGGGATATCCAACAGAACCTATCAGAGAACTACTCAAAAATTAACTATCTAAACACCAGATTCAGCTGATGATACTAAACGTGCTCACTTTCCTTGCATGCAACGCACGTGTGCATTTGTGTGTGTGTGGGAGAGAAAGAGAGAATTTTCTTACTTACTTGCAAATACCAACCCTGGTACAAGCAAAAGTGCCAGCTGGAAAACCCGCCGTTCTAGATGCTGTACCCGACTGGGAACGAAGTCGTGCCCCAACAGCGCGATCTTTCCAGCTATATGTTATTTCATTGGATGGTTTAGGGTAAATTTGCAGGAAACCATCAGATTTGATGGGACAAACAATGGTTTCCCGCAGCTTGTCCTTCAAATTATCCCTCTTATTATTTGCCTCTTGAAGATCAGAAGAAATCGATTTTGTCCCATTTATGGATGGTTTTCATCCCATTTGATCCCATCATTTGTTGCTGGTTTTTTCTGGGCAAATTATAACGACCTCATGGCGACCGCATTGTAAATAGGAAAAATCATCTCCAAATGGCCTTAATTCGGTAATCGCGGGGGGCGGGCCGAGTGCGACAGGTGGCCTTAATTCAGGTTGGTGAAATATTTTAATTCACTGGACAAGATCAAGTTAACCCCATTTATAGATGATTCACCCCATTTGCGTCTGTAAACTTTCATAATGCAAGGAAATAAGGGAATTACACGGACATAAGGTTTAGGAGATTTGCAAACCAATTGTTTCGGATTGAAATCAAGTTCGACAGAGTTTTGAGCAAATTGTATTGAATCAAGTAACTGCAGCCGTCCACATGACTCATTTGCGAAGAATCTGGGCGACAAACTAGTAGATGTTCACAGCGTAGGTCAAAATGAAGTACGTGCAGAAAATAGCAGGAGTCATTAAGAAACGAATGCAGGCACCTAAAGAAATCACCCAAGACAAACACTTGCAACATCTTACAACAGCTCACTGGACTTGTTGGTGTTGCGCATGAAAGTGGAAATAATTTGTATACATTCTTTAATTCTTTAAGTCTGTTTGCTTTTGTTTGAAAAGTTTGTTTAACCATGTTCATGCTTATTTGTCTTGGTCTTTCGTCTTTACATATATGGTGTTAAAAAAAATATTTGCAGACAGAAGCCGTGCCGCCTGCCAACGAAAAATCTGTTCTATTAATCTTGAAAAAAGCCGCCGCAGGCGCCACTTTTGAGCATTTGGATTGTCGCTCCAAGAACATTGCTTCCACCAATTTGAAAGCAATCTAAAAACTAGACACTACGAATATGCATCGGATTTCGAAGGATATTTCATTTGTTCATTCGTTTCAGCGTTTTCAGTTTTAATTTTTATATCTCACCTTTTTCCAAAAAGGCAGTGGTTTTTTATTTCTTGAAAAACAATGATCATTGTATAGATGTTTATTTTTTATTTTTGTCCGTTGATTTTTATTTTCACCTCTTGTTGTGTTATGTGCTTTATTTTTTTGATTTTGCCTTATTTTTCCACAATTATTTTTCCAAAAAAATGAAATCCAATGTTTTTTTTCGAAAAAATATCGTGGAAAAATCAAAACCCATTAGGATTTTTCAAAAAAACACCTTTATTAAATAATCGTGGGAGAAAGTCGAAATTCCTTAAATTCAAATCCAGCCCTTGAATTTAAGGATTTTCCTCGGAAATAAGGAAAATGAAAAAAACATATTTAAACAAAAAATGACATTTTCAAATAATAAAGCACATAAAAAATATATATAAATAAACACGTTTTAAAAAAAAGTGTGTTTTTAAAAATATAAAATAAGTAAGAGTAATAACAATAGAAAAAAACGAAATAATCAACAAGAACACGTTTTGAAAAAAATGAAAACATGTTGTGTTTTTCCAGTGTGGCGTCTATTTTTAAATGGCTTTCAGATTGATGGAATCAATTCTTCTTGGCGACGATCCAAACACTCAAAAGTGGCGCCTGCGGCAGGCCTTTTTTAAAGATTCATAGAATGTGTTTTTTTGAGCAGCCGGCGGCGTTTCTGCCTGCAAAACAAAAAAGCAAAATCACATTGAAAACATCAGTGTAAAGAAATGAAAAAATAACACGAAATTGGGGCCGTGTCTCGAAACTAGTTGCGCAACCATTTTTCAGCCAAGGATCCCGCACATTTGATGCATTTTGCATACTGCATGAACCTTATTTCCAGGATTCCAGTTAAATACAACGCGCCACCTTATTTACGCGAGTTAGCATTTACGTCCATTATTGGTTGATTTTTTCTTGTTGAACAAGTAGGTTTCCCTTTGCAAACTGGCAGCTGAGGTGTTCCGCTTCTATGCTGGCAATGCCAAGCAACTGGTCCAGCTGCTGGCTGACTTCATCACCAAGCCGCTTGTCACGAGAAAGTTTGACATCACAAATCAATATGTTTTTGATGGTTAAGTTTGTTTTTGATGGTTCTTGGATGTTCTTTGTGAATTCATGAGCTTCTTATACGCAGTTTTCCCTTGAATTGAAAGGTGCAAAAATGATGAAACTTGGGCAATTTGTGATCTTGAAATGGGATGAATGTATAATTTGTTATCCATGAATCCATGTCATCCGTTGATATAACCATTGCATTTTGACCCTTCGCTTCTTCCAGGCAGTGCTTCCCCTGGGAGTTGATCCATGCTCTGCACCTCTTGGATGATATCCTGCTGATGGTCACTTGGCCATGGGTGGTTGGTCATGCAGCAACCTTTAACGGGCTATTTTGTGGGATTTGATGACATTATGGCAGGGGTAATGGGGGTATATCAGCTAGTAATTTATGTATATGCAAATAAATTGGCTGAATCCTAATTGCTGTAACAGTAAGCACGAAACAGAGCACGAAAAGGAGCACGGAGGGAGCGAAAAAAAAGCACGAACTAGAGCACGAAAAGTGTCACGGAGGGAGCGAAAAAAAAGCACGAACTAGAGCACGAAAAGTGTCACGGAGGGAGCGAAAAAAAAGCACGAACTAGAGCACGAAAAGTGTCACGGAGGGAGCGAAAAAAAAAGCACGAACTAGAGCACGAAAAGTGTCACGGAGGGAGCGAAAAAAAAGCACGAACTAGAGCACGAAAAGTGTCACGGAGGGAGCGAAAAAAAAAAGCACGAACTAGAGCACGAAAAGTGTAACGGAGGGAGCGAAAAAAAAGGCACGAACTAAAGCACGAAAAGTGTCACGGAGGGAGCGAAACAAAAAAAAGCACGAACTAGAGCACGAAAAGTGTCACGGAGGGAGCGAAAAAAAAGCACGAACTAAAGCACGAAAAGTGTCACGGAGGGAGCGAAAAAATTAGCACGAACTAGAGCACGAAAAGTGTCACGGAGGGAGCGAAAAAAAAGCACGAACTAGAGCACGAAAAGTGTCACGGAGGGAGCGAAAAAAAAAGCACGAACTAGAAGCACGAAAGTGTCACGGAGGGAGCGAAAAAAAAGCACGAACTAGAGGGACGACGCAAAAGAAAAGTGTCACGGAGGGAGCGATAAAAAATAGCTTCCTCAACTTATGAAGAAAATTTGTTTTTTGACTGTTATAGGTATTAGGATCTACCCAACAAATAAATACATATATATATATATCTATTTATTTATTTATTCATGTATTTATTTATTTATTTAGGTTCTTTTACTGGGATATATTGTGACTCTTGGGAGATTTAATGAGATACCCTGGGCTGAACATACAAAAAGATGTGGAAAACCCATGGGTAAACCAAAAAAATGATCTACAAACGGTTGGTTTTCCACATCTATGTTAGCTTACGGGATGGTGCATCAGGATTATTCAGTAGGAAAATGCCAGCAAATTATAGTTCATGATGGTGATTCAATGGTGGTCCAATGGGGGGGACAGAGAGGAGAGAGAGAGAGAGAGAGAGAAAGAGAGAGAGAGGTATATGTATATATATATATATATAGCGACGGACTGAAACTTAGAATGCCGCCATGTTTCTCAAGATTTTTAACGGTGCCACTTAGAATGCCTTTTTTTGGCCTCACTTAGAATGCCTCCATCGCTAAAACATTCAAACCTGCGAGCTGGACTTTATGAGGCATTCTAAGTGCGCATGATTATCGCCATATTTGGAGACCCTTCCAATATTTTTTTGGTCCAAGGCATTCTAAGTTTCAGTCCGTTGCTATTAGAGATATAGACTTAAACTCTTGATGGTATATAAAATTTATTATGTAATCCCCTGTTCTGGTGTGAATATGCTAGTTGTTGTCCCCTAAATCGCATTTGTGAGTTTCAGGAGAAAGGAAAGGAGAAAGGAAAGGAGAAAGGAAAGAAGAAAGGAAAGGAGAAAGGAAAGGAGAAAGGAAAGGAGAAAGGAAAGGAGAAAGGAAAGGAGAAAGGAAAGCAAAAAGAAAAGGAAAAAGGAAAGGAAAAAGGAAAGGAAAAAGGAAAGGAAAAAGGAAAGGAAAAAGGAAAGGAAAAAGGAAAGGAAAAAGGAAAGGAAAAAGGGAAGGAAAAAGGAAAGGAAAAAGGAAAGGAAAAAGGAAAGGAAAAAGGAAAGGAAAAAGGAAAGGAAAAAGGAAAGGAAAAAGGAAAGGAAAAAGGAAAGCAAAAAGGAAAGGAAAAGGGAACGGAAAAAGGAAAGGAAAAAGGAAAGGAAGAAGGAAAGGAAAAAGGAAAGGAAAGAGGAAAGGAAAGAGGAAAGGATTGGTGTGGCATTCTAAGTGTTACAAATGCAGCCGGGAGGGACAAAAATCGTCAAGGAAAGCATAGTTCATGTGGAAATCAGCAAAAATCATCCAACCCATGCACCCAAAACCCGTGGACGCATTCTATGTGTAACATTTTTGGCAGCATTCTAAGTGTAAAACCGTATGGTTGAAAGGAAAGGAAAAAGGAA